TAAGTAAAAAAGGATTCAAGGTAGTGATGTGCTGGTAACTGTTTAGCACCCAGCTATTGAGTGGGAAGAAGCATTTGTTGATTTCTGTGGTGTACATAGTTCACCATGGCCAAGTTCAAACTACCAATAAGACTCTAACTCACAAAATTCCTGAAAATGTGAACCATCACTTTTCACAAGTCTGTAGGCATCTACTTCAAGGGACCTCTGATGCAATCTAAGTTCAGTTTTTTGCTTTTTTTTTTTTTTTCCAAGTCTGGAGAAAAATGGAATCACACCAAGTCATTAATGAAAATAGTTGAGTCTAATTTTATATGTATGTTTTTGTTTACATTTTGTAAAGATTGCTTTAAACAGAATATTTTTAAAAAAGACTTTTGAAATGTTTGAACAGGTTTAAAAGATAAGAATCAATGAGTAAAGCAATATCTTTCTCTAACTTTTTCATAAGAGGGTTGATTTCTGTTGAAAATTAATTGAATAAAAGAGGGTGCTAAAGTCATAAAGAAGAAGTTAGGTCCCGGTTAGAGCAATAGTTCTCAAGATGCGGGTCTGTGGGCAGCAGCAATAGCATCATCTGAAGATATAGTAGAAATTAAGTTCATAGTTTCCCACCCCAGATCTCCCAAATCAGAAACTCTGAAAATGAGGCCCAGCAATTGGTGTTCACAATGTCCTCCAGGGAACACTCATGCACATAAAAGTCTAGGGATGATTCCTCTAAAAACATGGTTCTTACATCTCTGTGTGCCCAAGACTCTCTGGAGGAATTTGTGAAAATGCAGATTCCCGTCCCCTGTGCCCACCTGCTGAATCAGAACCCCTAGGGACTAAGTTTAGCAACAGCACTGATTTATTTTATGTCACTTTATTTATTTATTTATAGTGGCTGGAGTTCCCAACATGGAATCATTAGCAGGAACAAAAAGAAACACTATTCTTATAAAAATGTTCAAGTCTCCACAAAATTAAAACAAAGCATATGATAAATCCCAATGAAATTATCACTTAGCTTACATAAATATCAACATTTTGCTTATCTTATTTCTTACAATAGCCCCCACTTTATTTTCTAGTTTGTTTACCATGGGAGGATTTTAAGGGAATATTTTAAGCCAAGGACGTCCTGTCATCTGACCAGCAAATCTTTTGGAATGTATCTCTAACAGATAGGAGCCCTTTCTTTTTCATTATCAATTGTCATCATTCAGCGTCTTAGTCCATTTTATGTTGCTATAAAGGAATCCTTGAGGCAAGGTAGTTTATATAGAAAAGAGGTTGATTTGGCTTGAGGTTCTGTAGCCTATGCAAAGAGCCTGCTGCCGGCATCTGCTCATCTGGTGGGAGCTTCTGTGCTAAATGAAAAAGGGTGGAAAATGTCAAAGGGGGAAGTTGTGATATGTGAAGAGAGACCAGCCCCAAGGTGTACCCTGAATGTATGACAACCGACTCTCCAGGAAACTAATCTATGACCCCAGAACCAGTTCAGCCTGGAGAGAATGAGAACTCACCAGGCCATTCATGAGGGAATGACCGGAAGACCTCCCACGAGGCCCCACATCCACACGGGGGATTAGATTTCAACATGAGACTTGGCGGGGGGCAGACAAGCTGCATCCTAACCACAGTGTATGTGAATAAAATTAATAACAATTCCTGAATACCTTTATCACAGAAATACAAAAATGTGTCTTTTGCAGTTGGGCCTTGCATTGCATTTCTTTAGAACATGCCCCTTTAAAGTCTCTTTTATTCTTTAAAGCTAGTTTCCATTGGAAAAGGCCAGATCATGCACCCTTAGTTATCGTCCACCTCTGGACTTGGCTGAATGCATCCTCATGACTTTGTTTACAGTAGCCTGATAGATTGTCCAGAAACTTGGGTCCACTTCGGGCTCACTTGTTTCGGCAAAAATGCTTTAGGGGTGGCACTTTGTACTTTCTGCTGATCCTATCAGGAGGCGCTCAAGGTCTGCTCCTAACACTTCATCATACTAAGTTGATCAATGGGCACCGGCACCTTTAGAGTAATTCATTCAGTACAAAGTGATAGACTAGGGCAGGGATCCCGCCTCCTTTGAATAGAGACTGGTACTTACAGACCAGTGACCGCCTGAGGATACTCACTCTGCTAGGCTTTTTCAATGAGCAGAGGCAGGATAGACATTTTTTAGGAAGGAAAACAATTCGTTCTCACTAATATTTCCAATTCTAATTTAAGATTGTTGAATATCTATTTGACTTTTACGTTGATGACATGAATTTCAAGCCAGTGGTATCAATACTGTTACTGCCCACAGAAAGATTACCAAATGTGGCTGAGACTTTTAATCTCAGGAGACATATAGTCAAACATGCTGTGTTTTAAAATTATTTGAAAGATTTCTTTTCTCTGTGTGATTAAGCCACCAACCCAGTATACTACCAGATTTGTTTTGGTTTGTTTTACATTTGGAGGGATTACTTGTGCATCTTTAATTTATAAAATATTTATTTACATGATTCCAAAAATAAAAACTATAAAACAAGGTAAGTTCAGAGATATCGGCTCTCCATTTGTGTGTCCTCAGCTTCAATATTTTAATTAAGTAAATATGTATACATAATGTTAATAAAAAGTAGCATTTGTCCTGGAGATCCCGTCATGTCAGTAGACAAGACCCCCTTCATTCCTTTTTACATCTGCATAGTTACCACATTATGTAGACATGCCACAGTTCCTTCTATCACTCTCCCATTAAGGGATATGTGCCTTATTTCCAGGTTTTTGCCATAAGAAATTATGTCACAATGAATAGCCATGTATATATATGCCATTTTGTACTTGTGCCAGTGTACCTGTGGAGATTGCCATATTCTTAGAAGAGGGATAACTGGGTCAAAGGTTAAATATATGCATAATTTTTATAGATACTAACTGCCAAACAACTCCCTCCAAATGTACCATTTTGAATTCCCAAAGGCAATGTATGATCAGTAAGCAGTGGTACCCTAGTGCAGTTGTTTGTTTCTTTCTTTCTTTCTTTGCGGTTTTTGGCCAGGACTGGGTTTGAACCCACCACCTCTGGCATATGGGGCCGGCGCCTACTCCTTTGAGCCACAGGTATTGCCCTCTCAGTGTAGTTTTAATTACATTTCTCTGTTATACACATGAGGTGAAAGGCCATTGGCCAAAGGACAAAAGGTGACATTTTGTTTCTTGCAAATAACCTGTTCTGATCCCTAACCCATTTTCTATATGGTGTTTTTTAGGGAGGGGCAACATTTTTTCTAATGTAATCAAATTTACTAAACTATTCCCTTAAAGTTTAGACATTTTTTTATTTATAGTCAGGAACATTTCTCCTACTCTTGGTGTATAGAGAAATTCATTTATATTTTCTTATAGTTCTTTTTTATACCCCAGAATTTCAAATAAACTCCTGAAAAAATTACTACGCACACCAAACTGCTAACTTATGGTCCAAGTTTATAAAGTGATGTCAAACATTGCAGTTATTTAATGAAACACATTTAATAATCAGTCATGTTCATGTCTTTCTGAATTCTTCTAAATGATGTCAATCTGATGTCTTCTTGCCTGAATGACAAAATGTTCCATTAGTCAAATGGAAAAGATTATTTCTGGAGTAATTGACACTGTGAACAAGCATATTCAGTTACTCAAACCGTTACCTTTTTAAGAGAAGACAACATAAACCATAATGACACAGCCCACAATCCAGCCGATCAGGAGAAGAATAGGCACCAGAAGGTGTGAATATGTAGACACCGCTTAAAAATGAACAAAAGAAAACAGGTTGGGTAGGTAGGTCATTTTGATATTAAATTTTTTGAGTAATTTTCCGAATCAAGAAGATAAAAGGCATCTGGCAATATAAAATATATGTAGGTATATATTCTCTAGTCAGACCCATACATAATTGTTTTTCCTTTTCTACAAAGGATACTTGTAATTAAGTCATAAACCCTTGGTGTTGGAACAGAAGACCTGGGTTCAAACCATGGATCTTCCTTTTATAGTTATGTGACCTTGGGCAATTCTGAGCTTGAACTTCCTCATTTGTAAAACATGGCTAATGAAACATGTGATATCTACCTCCTGGGGTTGTTGTGAAGGTCAGATGATATATGAGCAAACCCCCCACCTGATGTTGTCTATTTAGTGTATAAGGACACAGCCCCTAGAACATCTGTACACACAAAAACAATCTAATATAATTCTGAGGTCGCTCCAACCAAACTAAGTTATCATTACATAGAGAAAGGTATTGAGCCTTGTCCCTG